TGCGCTGGGCATCACAAAATGGGGAAGAGATGGCCAGCCCTCTGTGGAGATAGAGGTGGTTAGGGACTATTTAGAAAAGCTGGACGTGCACAAGTCCATGGGGCCGGACGAGTTGCATCCGAGAGTGCTGAAGGAATTGGCGGCTGTGATTGCAGAGCCATTGGCCATTATCTTTGAAAACTCGTGGCGAACCGGGGAAGTCCCGGATGACTGGAAAAAGGCTAATGTAGTGCCAATCTTTAAAAAAGGGAAGAAGGAGGATCCTGGGAACTACAGGCCAGTCAGCCTCACCTCAGTCCCTGGAAAAATCATGAAGCAGGTCCTCAAAGAATCAATCCTGATGCACTTGCATGAGAGGAAAGTGATCAGGAACAGCCAGCATGGATTCACCAAGGGAAGGTCATGCCTGACTAATCTAATCGCCTTTTATGATGAGATTACTGGTTCTGTGGATGAAGGGAAAGCAGTGGATGTACTGTTTCTTGACTTTAGCAAAGCTTTTGACACGGTCTCCCACAGTATTCTTGTCAGCAAGTTAAGGAAGTACGGGCTGGATGAATGCACTATAAGGTGGGTAGAAAGCTGGCTAGATTGTCGGGCTCAACGGGTAGTGATCAATGGCTCCATGTCTAGTTGGCAGCCGGTATCAAGTGGAGTGCCCCAAGGGTCAGTCCTAGGGCCGGTTTTGTTCAATATCTTCATAAATGATCTGGAGGATGGTGTGGATTGCACTCTCAGCAAATTTGCGGATGATACTAAACTGGGAGGAGTGGTAGATACGCTGGAGGGGAGGGATAGGATACAGAAGGACCTAGACAAATTGGAGGATTGGGCCAAAAGAAATCTGATGAGGTTCAATAAGGATAAGTGCAGGGTCCTGCACTTAGGATGGAAGAATCCAATGCACCGCTACAGACTAGGGGCCGAATGGCTAGGCAGCAGTTCTGCGGAAAAGGACCTAGGGGTGACAGTGGACAAGAAGCTGGATCTGAGTCAGCAGTGTGCCCTTGTTGCTAAGAAGGCCAATGGCATTTTGGGATGTATAAGTAGGGGCATAGCGAGCAGATCGAGGGACGTGATCGTTCCCCTCTATTCGACATTGGTGAGGCCTCATCTGGAGTACTGTGTCCAGTTTTGGGCCCCACACTACAAGAAGGATGTGGATAAATTGGAGAGAGTCCAGCGAAGGGCAACAAAAATGATTAGGGGTCTAGAACACATGACTTATGAGGAGAGGCTGAGGGAGCTGGGATTGTTTAGCCTGCAGAAGAGAAGAATGAGGGGGGATTTGATAGCTGCTTTCAACTACCTGAAAGGGGGTTCCAAAGAGGATGGCTCTAGACTGTTCTCAATGGTAGCAGATGACAGAACGAGGAGTAATGGTCTCAAGTTGCAGTGGGGGAGGTTTAGATTGGATATTAGGAAAAACTTTTTCACTAAGAGGGTGGTGAAACACTGGAATGCGTTACCTAGGGAGGTGGTAGAATCTCCTTCCTTAGAGGTTTTTAAGGTCAGGCTTGACAAAGCCCTGGCTGGGATGATTTAACTGGGAATTGGTCCTGCTTCGAGCAGGGGGTTGGACTAGATGACCTTCAGGGGTCCCTTCCAACCCTGATATTTTATGATTCTACGATTCTATGATTCTATGTTTAGTCTACGGAAGAGAAGAATGAGGGGGGTTTGATAGCTGCTTTTAACTACCTGAAAGGTGGATCTAAAGAGGATGGATCTAGACTATTCTCAGTGATAGCAGATGAGTAATGGTCTCAAGGAGTAATGGTCTCAAGTTGCAGTGGGGGAGATTTAGGTTGGATATTAGGAAAAACTTTTTCACTAGAAGGGTGGTGAAACACTGGAATGCATTACCTAGGGAGGTGGTGGAATCCCCTTCCTTAGAAGTTTTTAAGGTCAGGCTTGACAAAACCCTGGCTGGGATGATTTAGTTGGGGAGCGGTCCTGCTTTGAGCAGGGGGTTGGACTAGATGACCTCCAGGGGTCCCTTCCAACTCTGATATTCTATGATTCTATGATTCTATGAACAATGTCAATTCTCTAAACACAAGAGTCTGGCCCAAAGATAGAAATGACATGACAGATACCAGCAGCACGTTTAAGTTCCTGTCAAATGCAGTCACAGACTGGATCTTGACATTAAACTGTAGTCTCAGACAAAGCTCTTTACTTAGGGTGAAGGATGGCTATAGTTTTTCTGTCATATAGCCAGTTTATATGCAATGAGACAACTATTTCTAAAAAACCCACTGTTTGACATACCTGCCAACTTTTCAAAACCAAAATGAAAAGGATTCAGGGCATTCAAAAGGAGCTGGGCGCTACTAATTCCTCCCCAGCCAGAACTGCGGACATTTGATTTTTCTAAAAACTACCATTAAATTATCCATGCCTTTTTTATAATAAATATTTTCATTCCTTTAAGAACTTTCAGGGTTTTTCCCCCTCTCTTTTCAATACATTAAACTTTCTGATTTTGGCCCCAATTCTGCACTTTGTTGCATGTGGGCAAACTGCTCACCTCCCTGCAGAGATCCATTCCCTCAGCATGGCTGTGCACAGGTGCAGCAGCCTGACAGTGCACAATGAATTGCAGGACTGGGGGACCAGCCTTTCTCCCTTTACTTATGTTTACCATCACTGATTTCTCTTTCCATCAAATCTCTTCACACCATTATCTTTCCACCCTCCTTTTCTAGCCCCATATTTGCTTCTTTTGGCATGGAGACCCAAGTGCAAGTCGTGTTCACTCTCTGCCTTTTCAAGTCAGTGGAAAGACTCCCCTTGACTTCAGTGGGTACTAATCAGGTGATAAGTTTGGGTGATGGAGTGAACAGGAACAAGTGTTAAGTTGATAACTATTATTTGAAATGATACATGTTGGGCCTGATCCTCCTCTTGCTTACCCCATTGCCAAAAGAGCAGTGTCCTGCTTCCCTTTTACAATTCATACAGACTGAACTAAAAAAGTTATTTGTAATAAAGCTGCAGCTGGTTCTTAGCTCGTTAAAATATGTTCCCTTTGATACCTTGCCCAATGCCATTTCCCCAATAAAACATATGCAATTCTTTGTCATTTTAACTTAGAAACAAGCAGTCATCTTTATACATGGTTTTCAATTGTGAAGCAGGAGCAAGGAACTATAAACCATCTTGTGAAGGTAAAATAAAATATGTAAGTATTTAATCTATTTAGCATTACAATGCAGCTTTACCAATGCCAAAATCCACACACTCAGTTTTCTTGAAATAGTTCTTTTTTATGATAGCTAGGAAAATTGCTAAAAACTTATGCATGCTTTGGTGATTTTAGACCACATGCCAACCCTATACCTCTAGGTCAAGTATCTAAGGTTACATGCTAAGAACCCTAAACTATACACATGTCAATGGAAACTGCTGGCACACACACAGGGACAGAACCTGACCTTCAGTTTAAAGTCATCAGTGAGAATCTAGGAAGCTGTAAATGTATTAAATTCCACTCTTGAAGCACATGTGTAACTCTTCAACGTAGATAGGAAATACACACGTACCTTGAGGGGAGAATAAAACCCATTGTGATGTTACTGCCAGAAAATTATTACATTTGACCTTGTGTGTTCTATGATTAAACCCAAGCGTCTTCAATCTCAGCTAGTGTAAATCAGCATTGGTCAATTGACCTCAGTGGAGCTTCTCCAGTTTACACTTGGTGAGGATCTGGCTTACTTCTATTTAATTAAAATATTGTAATCGAAATTTGCATTGAGACAGGAATTTTACAGGAAAACAGAAGCTGTGTGGAGCTCTATCTCCCTCTGCATAAAATAATGATACAGTATTAACAATAATACATTGTGCCCAACAAGAAAATGTAGCGTTCATAGCTAAGCCTAGAAAATACATTAATTTTTATGAATTACTTCATTTTTTAAAATCATGAACTCAACTACAGTGTAGATAAACTCTCAGAATCTTGGTATGACCCAATGAAAGGAAATATATATTATGAAATAAATCCTATGAGTAGCTGGCTACAGTTATTTCAAGTAATAGTGGTCTACACTTCTCTATTCCACAGTTTGCATAATTATTGTAAAAGCAAATTACAGAATTCACTATTTAATTGTTGTAATAAAATTAGATACTAACAAAAGGGCACATAGCAAACACAAAGCCACTTTGTTTTACAATGTCAAACATCACACGCTTTATTTGATATATTTTCATGGCCTAGAGCAGCTTTTAACACCTGTCACTACAGGTCAGATTCCTGCCATAAGGAATCACACTAAAACAAATCATCATGTTGTTTTTTCCTAACATATCTATCAAACCGTTATAACTAAATATGAGTTGAAGGCATTTTGCAACTGCACAAATCTGCCCGGTGGTATTTAAGTGGCCTTTGTAACCCAGGTTTGAAAGTTTTTAACTGAGCTTATAGCAGAATATTTTTTCTTAAATTTGCAATATCAAATCTAGGTTCCATAGTTCTTAGTCTATCATTTAATCAACACATTCTGAAAGTTGGAGTAATTAAATGCCATCAAACAGGTGAAATCTTGACAGCAAATAGAAGTATTTATGGAGAGGGACTTGGCCTATTTTTTTTTTTTTGACCAAAGCAAAAGGTTACCGCAGGGATTAAATGTCCAATCCTGCAAATGCCTCACTTGAATAATTCTGACTCATCCAAGTAGTTGGATTGACTTCAATCAAAATCCTTTGGAAAGCAAGGAATACTCACATGAGTAAAGGCTTCCAGGTCACCATTCCACATGCATCATTTTCTCCTGTGAAACTGGCTATTTTCCTTTTGATCTTGGTCTAAGTTTTATTGGTTACATTTCCTTAAAAACTGTTTATAGCTGTGCTCTCCATTTGTCAACCAAATAAAATTAATCACTATTATTACTGGAAGCAAACTCTAGGACTTTGCTCCAAAAAGTTACACATCCGGAAGTTCAAATAATGCTAATGGTAGTGTGATTAAGTTCGCTCACCTTTTGACCAGGCACCCCTGGCAAACCTGGATTCCCATGTGGCCCTGGAACACCCTATAAAAATGAGAAAGAGCAGGATTATTCAAAAGTACACCAAACAATGTTTCATTACTTTGTGGAAATATTGCAGAGAATCATCCTCAAGGATCACTGTTCCATCTAAAATCATTGGCTAGGATCTTCAAAGGAGCCTAAGGGAATCAGTGTCCATTTCCCTCTAAAATTAAATGGGAGTTGAGCATCTAACTCCCATAGACTCCTTTGACAGTCTCATTCATTAACTTTTCACTGGGCTCCCAGGTAATTCAGGACACGTATATTAGAGCAAGCTCATTGTGACGATGACTTTTCAGCCATAGAATGTTTGGGATAAATGGACATCCTAAGCATCACATTACTGAGGTATCCCTATATTTCTGCTCAATAAAAGTTGGCCTAGGAATTCCACCTCACTGAGGATTAACATACCTCTTAGATAAAACAGTATCAAACAAGACATTCTGGAGATATGGGTGAACAACAAAAACAATTTGTTTCAAATCCTGAAAACTCACTTTTTTTTTCTTGACGTGCCCTAGCTCAGACTCAGCTTGGCTGATACACTCCAAAATTCATTTTTTAAGTCTCCTCTGTGCAGAGGTCCCACATGAGAAATTTTACACAAAATGTACACTTTTCTAATAAAGTTAAAAGGGGTTAAAATCAAGCTCCTGAGCAGTGGTGGATTTAAAGTTAGTGGGGCCCTGTGCTCAGGTTCATTTTTGGGGCCACTCCTTGGGACGCAGCCAAGAAAAAGAACATTCTCTCTTATCTCGTAGGGGTGCTCCCAGCCCCCTGCCCTACCCTAGCCCCCTGCCCTGAGTGGCTCACAGCAGGGAGCTGGGAGGGGGCGATGTGTAGGGGGAGTGCGGGGCCCTGCCTTTGCTCTACCCTGCCCCGATTCCATCCCCTTCCCCAAGGCCCGCCCCTTCCTCTTCTCTGCCTCCTCCCTCGAGTGCGCTGTGGCCCTGCTCCGCCCCCTCCCTCCCGGAGCAACCTGAGCACTGGCAAACAGCAGTTTGGTGGTGGGGGAAGCACTGGGAGGGAGGGGCTGAAACGTGGCAGGCTCAGGGGAGGAGGTGGGGGGGAGGGAGCTTGGCTGCCGGTGGGTGCAGAGCCTGCAGCAGGAGCCCCAGGAGCTTGCAGGACCAAGCTTCTGCCCTCACAGTTGCCTGGCCCTGGGGCCTCCTGTCATTGGGGGGCCCCATGCCAGGGCACCTTGTATTTTACTGTAAATCCGCCTCTGCTCCTGAGGGAAATGTATCACTCTTAACTAAGGTGTCACTATTGAGACCGTCAGACCACGGCACGATTAAGGGCAGAGGGAGCGAAGCATGGGAATCCTGGGGAAGATTAGGGCCTGAGGCAGGAGCATCCTCATGCAGCTGGGAGTAGTGGGAAGGAGTCACTGACATAACAACAACTGAGCAGCAAGTGGAGCAGCACAAAGCTGACTGCTGATGGCTGAGTGCGGCCACTGCAAGAAGAGAGCTCCTTAGATACCAGGTGCTTCTATTCAACAGCTCAAGGCACATCTCAGTATGACTAAAGATGACTCAAAGGACAGAAGAAAGTCCTGGGTGAAGGTCATATGACAGGGTCCATGGCTGTTCAGGAGGGGTGATGAAGGGCTTTCTTTGACTGGGAGGCCAAAGTTTTCAGTAGGTCTAGGCTCAGATAACCCACCTGACTGTCACACCACATCTGTGTATAATGTATATACTACCCATATACTCTTCTAATAAAAACCTCTATTTTGGGAAGTTCATGTTATATCTTGCCCATAAAAGCCTCACGTCAGCTTCAGGCTTAGCACACAAAAGTAAGGCCCGGGACCTACTTTTCAATGTAAAAAAATAACAACCAACACTTGGTGGTATTCTGATGTTTGTGAGCACTATAAGAGCTAAAGCGCAACAATGACTTTTCAAAAATGAAGTTTTCCTGGCCCTTAGCTCATCACCTGGACTAGTCTTTGTGTCAACATTTAAGTACGCTTTTAAAATTCTATTTAAATCACAGTTACTAATAAATCAAACTGGCCCTTCTCAATCTAGCCTGTCTCCAGACACTAGCCACCCCTCTCTAATTTAAGATTCCTCACTTCCCATTATGCTTTTTTGCATGTTCAACTCCACATTCAATTCACAAATTTCACACTGTGGAGCTTTGCGCCCCAAAATGCAATGCATCCATCAGAGGTTAAGAAATAGGCATCTGAAAGAGACAGCTTCAAGAGATATAAAGGATCCTGACTCTTACCTCCCACCTCCACCTTTATAATGGTATCAGAGGGAATCAAGCAAGTCTGGTGGACTTTCTGACTGGCCATGTGACAGGATAGTTTTACATTTTTAACATGTGGTTTATTTGGGCTCTCTCTTTTTAAGGAATCAAGAGTGAGGTTATCCTCAATGAATTGCCCAAGCATATAACATCCCTCCCCCCACCCCACCCCCCGCCCACTAAAGCTGCACATAGAATCATAGGACTGGAAGGGACCTCAAGAGGTCATCTAGTCCAGTCCCCTGCAGGACTAAGTATTATCTAGACCATCACTGAGAGGTGTTTGTCTAATCTGCTCATAAAAATCTCCAATGATGGAGATTCCACAACCTCCCTAGGCAATTTATTCCAGTGCTTAACCACCTTGATAGTTAGGAAGTTTTTCCTAATGTCCAACCTAAACCTCCTTTGCTGCAATTTAAGCCCATTGCTTCTTGTCCTATCTTCGGAGGTTAAGAAGAACAACTCTTCTCCCACCTCGTTGTAACAACCTTTTATGTACTTGAAAACTGTTATCATGTTACACACACACACACAACACACACACAATATATCAAGATGTATTAGCTATGGTAAAAGTGACTTGAAGAAGCTACAGACACAGAAATCATGCTTTTATTGAGCTGCTGTAAACAAAGAAACTAAAGCAGATTCTTAGAGCAATTTTCTTTCCAGCCAGCAGTGGATAATTCCACTTTCATTGTTTTCCAGTCTGTAGCTGTGGAATGCACTATTCTGGGAAGCCCACTCCCCTTCATTCCAAAAAGCAAATGAATCTGACTATCTCAGCTACAGATGACTACACTGAAAAACTAAAGAATTAATGCTACAAGTAACAGCATCACAGTTATATTGCAAACTCAATAGCAGTTTGTGGACACATTCACTCAGAATACCTTCTCTAGGTATTTATTGTAAAATACACATTGTCTTATCTGTCTTGTCTTATTTTGTTTTAGCCCATTATATGCTGAGATTAAAGAGCAACAGCTTCCTTGCTGACTAGTATATGAATACACTCTACAATCAAATGATGATACAAAGTTTGGTTTTACTATCAGCGTCCAGTATACAGCTATAGAAAAATATAGCCCTTTTACTCACCCGTTGGACCTCTCTTCCCTGATAGACCAGGTAAACCTGGAGGACCTGGGGGACCCTGGAGGGACAAAAACCAGATAGTTAAGGTAAGAGAGACCAGTCTTTGTGCTGCAGGTCATAATCTGACAAGCCCTCCTACAGCCCCCAACTGATTTTCTGATTACAAAACCTTCTCATTTTGAAAGAAAAGCTCAGAACTAAAAATACAATGTGCTTTTTCCCAATCTGGCTCCCAACTGGAGACTTATGGTTAAAATTATATTATGCATAAGGCTTGTAACTCCCAGTTTAGTGCATAACTTAAATAAATTTATTTTTATTACAGGAAGAAGAATCCATTTCAAAATATAAAAACAAGGAAACAAAATGTATTTAAAAAAGAGAAAACAGTTAATTTACTAAATTAAAAACATGGCATACCATTTACATCGCAAACAATATATGTATCATCTGAGGCATTTCAGACAGTTAATCACTATAAGAAACTAAGTAATAATAATAACCCATAAAAAAGAAAGACGAAGAAAAAGAAACACAACAGACATGACTGAAGACTTGTTTGACTTCCTAATTATGACATTTTCATAGGAATCATAGGTAGCACATTATTTGTTTCTTTACATTCATATTTTTGAACTGATATAACTGCTTTCAAAGAAAAAACTTTTTTATTTTTACCAAATAAATTCATATTCTGTTTTATGAGTTGATGTAACCTTTGCAAATAGATTTGATCATAAATAATTGTAACAATATTAGGCACAGTATCATGTTTAAGCTAGGTAACAGCTTTGTCCCTAAAAATGATCTCTTTCTTTTTACATTGTACCTGTTAACTTTTGAGAGCAAAGACAGTGTTTCATCTGAGCTCAAATTATGGTGAGAACTCTTGGCCAAATTCTGCACTGGCTTGTGCTGCACTGCATGCCATCACTTTTACTTCAGTGAGGTTGCATGGTAATGGGGTGGAATTCAGGCCTCCTCCTTTAGGAGCAAATCAAATTCCCATCCCCATGCAGGTGAAGAGAGCCATGGCTGTAGCAGAATCAATACCCTTTCACAGCTGAGGCAGGTGAGTGGCAAGATGTTAGGACTTCATGCAGGCAGTGCCCCTATGTGTCACACAGTTTTTCACTGGTAGGGCTCACTGCCTCTGCTTCCCAGTATGCAGGGTGTGAAATTGGGGGTCGGGGGTGAATCCACAGAGGCTACTGCAAGCCCTAGCTCTGCACTACCAGTCATGGAATGGCCTGAGGGAAGGATTCCATCACCACTCCTACACCAAGACTCTAACTCACCCAAAGATCTTCTGCACACAACCCAATTACTCAGCTTGTGCACTGGGTAAAATACATTAAATAGCTCTGACTGTACTGCTTGACGCTGTTCAAAATTATTTAAAATCGGGGGGAGAGATGAAGGAAAGCACCAGTATTACTACTGTGGCTGAGATGGCAATAAACAACCTGTGCAGGAAATGTAAAGATGGTATGTGCATAGCACTATCCACATAACTTCCCACTGGCTTTTATGAGCCCTTGGTGCATAATTTTATTATGATTAAAATCCAGAATAAAATGTTAAATCATAGGAAAAATGAATATCAGTTCCCTTTGAAATAGAAGGATAACTTCACTGGCACAGAAGCCAACACTGACTATCAGCCAATGACAGACCAATTGAATGCAGATAGTGGCTTCAGGAAGACCTCAAAGGGCTTTCTGGGAGTACAGAGGAATAGTAGGACAAGAGGTCAAGCCCCCTTAATTCCCTTTGGCATATACAATGCTAATTGTACAGGTAGTAGGTTTCCAGCAAATGTAACCCCCACGAAGTGAAGTGGGTAGACCAAGAAGGCCATTTAAGTAGCGACTGGTGCACTGTGACACAGTAGAAAGACAACTGTGTGCAGTCAGGACTACAATTATAGCAACCTTCATACACCCTGGCATTGTACAGGTAGAGGTTGGCATGGTGGAGGTCAACAGGGTGTTTAACCTTGCCTAAAGCAAGTTTAGTGCTAATGTGGTTGCCTGTGGACTGTTAGGAATATTTGTAGGTGTGGACAAATGGTGCATTATAGGCATGCTACAGGGACCAGCCATGACCCACTGGTGAGTGTATGTTACAGGTTCTCCTCTGTGCCTGATCTGAGGAGGATGTGAGTCTGTTACAGTGGCTGCTATAGGCCCTTGGCTCTATAGCTCATGCTGTAGCAGCTCATATTTTTAGCTCTTTAAGTTCCCAGTTCACACCCTGATGAGTCAGCCAAAATAGCAGCCATCACACAAGCACTGGTTAGCATGCCAAATTTCTCTAGCATAGACAAGGCATTTGAGTGCATTTCACTTCCAAGAATAAAAAAAGAGCAGACAGACACACAGAGCTTGACCTGGCATTCTTGTTGAGGAAGAGTTCCAAAAATATAACTAAAAAAAGCCTGGAGTTTCCGCATCTTGTTACATCTGGAGGAACTGTTTCCTATTCTTTCCTTTTTGAATCACTGAAGCTAGAAGATGCACCATGCACTGAAAGTTATCCTGGGGCTACACAAAAGAAAGAGTCAACTATATTTCTTCATAAAAGGTGGACAAATAAAATATTTTGAAGTTATGGTACATTGCTTTTTTAATTGTAATGTGAAGCTCTTTCTACACCCTATTTCAGATACTGATTACATTTGCTTTAAAATAAAGTGTTTTGATAGCTGGAATCCCTATTTTCCCCTTATGAAAATATTAATGCATATTTACATCTCTACGTGAGCCTTGTTCCAGATTTGTTTGGTGCAGTTGGATGTGTATTTCGGCCTGTTTGGCTTCTAATTTTTTAAGATTTCTTTTTCATTTTATTTTGCCTTTTGTATAGCACCTATGTGCTATGCACTAGGCAACTTATGAATTAATGAGTAATTGTTTTTATTGGTCTAAGGACAATGAATGGTATAATGCTATAAAAAGAACGAATTTTTCTTCATAGGGCATAAAGATCTGGTCTATGGATGTCACCCTTACGACAAAACCAACTGCCAGCAATCCCTAGAACCTTGCACTAAGTAGCCAGAATCTTTATAAAGATGTGTAAGTATAAACCTCCCCCGTAATGTTCCTACCTCAGAACTGCTCACACACCCTCTGCCCCGCACCGAGCTTCTCTCTAAATAGTTACTACTGCCTATCTTACATCCAGGTGGGATAATGAGCCACCTGCCTACTTGAGTCAGCAGATGCCACTTAAATCTTTCTCAACATAATCACTGGCTACTAGGGTAGTGTGTTTCAGGCAAACATTGCTAGCATATTACACCAACAGTTTAGACAGTTGGTTAAGTTATTAATAGAAACACTCCTTAATTGAATTAATTGAACTGCTGCTACTTCAAATTGACAGCAGAGCAGTATTAGGAAACTGATGCCCCTGTTTAGCTAAAGCAACTACTTAATTGATTGTATATTTGGTGGAGACCACTGGAGAATTGCTGATCATTGTTTTTCAATTATTCGCAAGAAGTTACACCACTGCACAGAATTCTACAGCCTGTGGAAGTAGTTACAGTAGTTACAGCTTCAAACCAACTGATTTCTTCTGTTTTTATACTGACAGAGAAAGTTAGTTCTAGATACCTACTGTGACAGGGTCAGGCCAGATGGCTACAGGAGAGTAACAGAAGGCAGATATATTAGCCCCAGGTTAAGTAGGTCCTTTTCCCCTGAGTAAGGTAACAGGGAAGGTTCCATAACAATCAGGAACCTTCTGGAGACAATTAAGACAGACAGGCTGATTAGAACACCTGCAGCCAATCAAGAAGCTGCTAGAATCAATTAAGGCAGGCTAATCAGGGCACCTGGGTTTTAAAAAGGAGCTCACTTCAGTTTGTGGTGCGTGTGTAAGGAGCTGGGAGCAAGAGGCGCTAAGAGCGAGAATGTGGACTGTTGGAGGACTGAGGAGTACAGTACAACCATTATCAGACACCAGGAGGAAGGTCCTATGGTGAGGATAAAGAAGGTGTTGGGAGGAGGCCATGGGGAAGTAGCCCAGGGAGTTGTAGCTGTCACACAGCTGTTCCAGGAGGCATTCTAGACAGCTGCATTCCACAGGGCCCTGGGCTGGAACCCAGAGTAGAGGGAAGGTCCGGGTTCCTCCCAACTCCAGGTCAGACACAGGAGGAGTTGACCTGGACTGTGGGTTCACGAAAACGGCCAAACTGAGGGCTGCCGTGAAGCTCCAAGGCGAGCAAATCCACCAATAAGCGCAAGACCCACCAAGGTAGAGGAGGAACTTTGTCACACTACACAAAGACTCTGAAGAGCTTCTACACAACCAACAGAAGTCACTAAGTCAATAATTCCAGAGTCAATCTGATATGTCCCCAAACCAGGGAAATTGGTGGTTTGTTTCAATAGTCTTTCATCCAATAATTGTAAACTGTAATTAATCATTAAACAACTGCATAGCATATTACATTTTATATGATGAACCAAATCATTGTTTGGTACATCAAACAACATAATAATTGTACATTATCTTCTAAATGGTACCACAGATGCAAATTTAAAATAATAAATTGGTTTAATAGGAATGGTATAATAACAGTAATTCTTGTATATTTTCCTCATGCATGTTTCTAATTAATGCTTGAGTTTACTGTGCACCTAAAAACAGTGAAAGCTTCCTTCAGATGTTGAGGAATACTACAAAAGTCACAAATAATTAGGGGGCAATCCTGCAAGCACTCGGGCCCCAATGACTTCATGAGGGCAAACTCCTGCACCCTCATGAGTCCCCTGACTTCAATACAGCTCCTCATGGACACAGAGGTGTACCTGCAGAGTCATTTGCCAGATCTGGGTATTACTATGATACATAGGTCCCAATGGGAAGTTTCGTGATTGAGTGCTACAGTGCAGAACCAGACCCATAGTGCTTAATATCAGGTGTAGTTCCACAGTAGTAAGTATTATACTCAGTAGCTGGCATTTGCAACATCAGATCCTGGATGCAGGTCCAGTTACAGTTCAGCACACAGAAATTCTACTGACTTTAATGGAAGTTTGATGT